TCACTTTGCTTTTCAGGTGAACTTACTACTGTCTGTGTCCAAGTAACCAAGTCCCTTGGACTGTTGAAAACAGATGTAGAAGGTACGCCAGGCCAGAGCAAGGCTGAGGAGTCACCTACACGACCTGCGGGACATTGGGGGGGTTTGGTGGGGAGGTCTCTCAGGGCCCACAGACTCTTTCAAAGTCCTGTGCTTCTTGGCTGTGATTACAGAATGAAATCTAAGCAAAGGGTAGAAAGCACCCAAAATGCCAAAGATCGACTTGTAAACATAGATCACTGCCTAATGTTATTAAACTGGCTTTAGAAGTTAATCTGTGGACATGCAGTGAAATGATTCCTGGAGAAAATATGTGCAATGAAAGTAGGTTACTAATTAGGATTAGTGAAGAAAAACGTTGAGGAAGTTAATTAGAAAGCTTCCAGGAGCGTGGCTGTCTAAAGTGTTAGACGTTGTTGAACAAGCTCCCAGAAATGCTGTTCGTAACACTGTGTAATGTTATGTTTCTGACACCATTTTGTAGCAAAGATGGGATATTCTGGGAGCATAGTCTGCTTTCCTTAGAATTCAGCGAGTTATCTTTCTGTGTTTGATGTAAAGTAGTTTAAAGAAGCAGGTCCTGCAACTGGGCCCTGGGATCCCTCTCTGCTCCTTGGATTGCCTTAGTGGGGAACTGATGGGGAAGAGAGAGCTGCCGCGGCCTGGGAATGGGCATAGGAGTTATCTCTAATGAAAATCGGCAGCATACAATTGCAGGTGTTTGTGAATGGCAAGTGCCAATTAAAGCGTCTTCTGCTCGGGGTAGCTCTTCTGTGTGCGGCCAGGCTTATACATCTCCTGTACACCGACTTCAGTCAGGCAGCCCCTTGAAGAGGGAATGCTTTCATGGTCTCTACGGCCACGTGACTTGGGATGCTGCAGTTCTTTCAATGGAATGAATCTTGGTGAAGGAGATAAGGAAGATGGAGGAGGAACACTTTAAAAACTCACCGCTGTATATCGGGGATCACAAAAGAAATGATGCACATCTACAAATTCCTACAAAAGCATAGCTAGTGATTTGTATAGATGATGTGGCTTGTTTGGGGAAAGAAAAAAGAAGCTTCTTTAGGAGCAGTCAAACATTTGTCCAGAAATAAAGTGCTGAGCAGGCCTCTGGTATGTGAGTGGACCCAGATGTGTGGGCAATGGCTGTTCCTCTTCGTACAGTGACTTTAGCACGGCATTTTGCACGCCTTTAGTGGCTCCTGCTCATTGTGTAGAGATGTTCCATGTCCTGATGTCCGTTATGTGGAGCGGGTAATCTGTCTTTCCAAGTCAATTTACATTTGTTGTAGGGTTTGCTTGATTAGCTGACTTTTAAGAAGGGAGGTTGAGAGGAGCTCAGGCTTGTTCTAAGGGGGAAGATGTATTTATTCTTCCACTTATGATTATAAATATATGTTTAAGAACATAGGCTGTAAAATATCCATTTTTGTATAATATGTGTATATTTGGTCTTTTTGAATAGCCTTTTCCAAGAGAAATGAGGCATGATTGCTGTATAGTACTATGGCTGATTGAATTACTTGTACAGATGAGGGTATGTTCTTAAGGGTCAAAATGTTTAGCAGTGCTTATTCTTGTGTTTTGGATTTTTCATTTCTGAAATACTCAAAACACCTCTCAAAGTGCTGGATAGTTGTGTTCAGACATTTGCTGAATGAATATTTGTTTAAATCTGTACAGTTTCAAGTGTTTACTTATACAGATAGTGTATATACTTTCAAATGATTAATTTAAAATGCTTTATATTAATTATCTGGCTAGGAACTTGCAGTTTTTAATAAATGTGGATTTTTTTAAAAATAAAGATTTTGCTTCCTAACTTGTCCAACTCTTTTATTTGTGTCTTCAGATTCTTCTGACAAGATGATTGTAATGGAAAGACAGAAGTACTAGAGACATCTAAAAATCTTAGGGCAATTTAATTTTTTCTTTGTTAGCACGACAGCCGTCTTCTCCAATACTGGCAGTATAGTTAATTGCGTTGAAAATTCAGTTTTTTAAATAGTAGCAATAAAAGCAAACCTGTATTTTCTTTGCTGATGTTATAATTCCACAAAGCTACATTTTCTTCTATAATTGCCTCACAAGAATCAGCAGGGGCCTAGTGGATAGGCAGGTGTGGGGGCATAGCTGGGAGCAGAGAACGCCTGAACTTGGCTTTCAGGGATTGGTCGGGGGGAGTCCTGGTGCCTGAGGAGCCTTCATTTTAGGCCTGAGAGGAATAGGGACAAGGAGCCCCAGCTGTGGGGGAATCGAGTCTGTCTTTTAGCTCCTGTATCAGTGTGCCATGTATATGTGACAGGAAGGGGACCTGACTAGGGATCCCGGAGGCCAGAGTCAGGAGACAAAAGGTAGGAATTTGGTGGATAGATAGAAGAAGCCCGCGCAGAACCCGACCAGGCGCAGATGGGCAGCTTGGGAGTTAGTTTAAGACCTAGATCTGATGCCAACCAACCTGTGTGACTCAGCCTCTTTGAGTCTCATCCATAAAGTGGGAATGGAAGTAATACTACCTTCAGAACAACTGCAGAGTGCAGGAAGTATTTGGGAAGTCAGTCCATCCACCAGGACATACACAGTACTAGTACATGGTTACAGAATGTTCCTGAAAGCAGTAATGAGCAAGGCGAAGAGCTGGAGGAGTCTTCAGTGTTCGTGGCAGGTCATTGCCAAAGTAGTAAAACGAAAATGCTGCCAAAGTGAACTTACAGGTTTATTTAATGCTCTATCAAGCTAAGCTGCCTGAGGAATACTTTGCAGAGCTAGGTAAAACATCAGTAAAATTCATTTGGAGCAACAACATATCTAGGATATCAAGGGAAATGTTGAAAAGGGAAAAGCAATGAGAAAGGAACAGCACTATTATGTAGTTATACATACTAGTTATAATATTAAGCTTATAATAATTATGTGTAACATGTTGTTATAAACTAGAAGTCATTAAAACCGCTTGGTGTGAGTTAAGAGATAGGAAAGTAGATCAATGGAACAGATTGGACAAGGAAGACTCAGAAATGATGGCGCTCAATCCAGCATTCAACAAACTCCCGAACGTGGAATGGCCTTTATGATAATTTCTGGGAAAACTAGAAAGAATCCTGGCAGAAATTAGGCTTAGGCCAATGTCTTACATCATATTCCACAATAAATGCAAAATGAATACATGACCTAGATGTTGAAGATGATCTCTTTAAAACATTAGAAGATTAATAGATCCTACACTTTTCACAGCTATGGTTGAGATGAATTCTGTAATATAATAGTAACAGCATTTATATCACACTTATAGCCAGGCACTGTGCTGTAAGTGTGATAGCTTGATTTATTGAGATAATACCAAACTAAACATCTTAATTTATCAACTAAACAAGGGATGGAGGCAATTGCAAAAAATTAAATAATCTTGATTATGTGAAATTGGAAAGCTTTTGCAAAACAGAATTAATGCCTTTAAGAGGAAGAATGGTGAGAGAAAACAGCTTTGTACAATTACCTATGGGTTTGGTACCCAAGGTAAGGCGACAAATAAATATAATACATTATGTATGTGTGTGTATCTATCTGTATGTGTGTGTATACATATATATATATATATACATGTATATATGTATATACACGTGTTATATATCTATAGGTGTATATATTCACATGAACATGTATATACACATGTATGTGTGTATAGACATGTACATACATATATATGTATGTGTGCAGACATTCACACATATGTAAAACCAAAAGCCATTTTCGAACTTGAAAGTGGTCAAAAGGTATGAAAAAACTACTTTTTTTAAATTCCTTTTTTTTGGCTAGGCAATGGGGTTAAGTGACTTGCCCAGGGTCACACAGCTAGTAAGTGTTATGTGTCTGAGTTCGGATTTGAACTCAGGTCCTCTTGAATTCAGGGCCTGTGCTCTATCCACTGTGCCACCTAGCTGCCCCAAAAAACTACTTCTTAAAAGAATTGCAAACAGTTCACAATCATATGAAAGACAGCCCCAAATCACTAATCAAAATGACCCTGAGGTTTTGCTTCACACCCAGAAAATTCACAAATGACAAAAGATGGGAATAATTAATGCTAGAAAGACAAGTCTGCTCATGTACTGTTGAACGACCTGTGAATTGGTACAGTCACTCTGGAAAGCAATTTGGATTTAAGAAAGTGATGTGATGAAAATAGGCATATTTTTTTCCTTGGGGATTCCACTGCTGGGTGGATATACCCAAGGTGATCCGTGATAAAAAGTTCCAAAGACCCCAAAATATCTATGGCAGCCCTTTTTGTGGAAGCAAAAAAAACTAGACACCAAGTAGACACCCATCGGTTGGGGAATGGCTAAACACAAGGAATACCAGCTTTTCTACAGCACTTGAGAGTTTGCTAAGTTCTTTTGAAATACCTCCTTTGCTCCTCACAATGACCCTGTGATTGTAGCTGGTTACCATGGGCCTCATTTTACAGGTTAGAAAGCTGAAGCTGAGAAGTTAAGTGATTTGTCCAGGGTCGTGCTTTTGTTGCTGTTCAGGCATTTCCAGTTGAGTTCGACTCTATGATCTATGATTGGGGTTTCCTTGGCAGAAACAATGGAGTGGTTGGCCATTTCCTTCTCCAGCTCATTTTACAGACGAGGAAACTGTGGCAATCAGGGTTAAGTGACTTGCCCAGGTCACACGACTAGTAAGTGTCTGAAGCCAGATTTGAACTCCTGACTCCAGGCCCGGCACTCTATCTACTTCACCGTGAAACTGCCATTAAAAATGCTTAGTATAATGCCTGGATATAGGTGGTGGTTCTGTCATTTTTCAGTCATGTCTGACTTTTTGTGATCTCAATTGTGGTTTTCTTGGCAAAGGTATTGGAGTACTTTGCCATCTCCTTCTCCGGCTCATTTTACAGATAAGGAAACTTAGGCAAACAAGGTTAAATGACTTGCTACACAGCTAGTGAGGACAGACTTGAACTTGGGTCTTACTGATCCAGGCCCGGCACTCTATCTACTGCGTTACCTAGCTGCCCTCTAGCATTACCTGCCCAGATTCAAATTGTGATTAACTTTGAATCCTGTCTGAAGAGAGCAGAGTGTTAATTTGTATGTGTTGGAGCACCTTTAAAACAAACAAACCGATCCCCCAGAAGCCCCACCCCCCCTACACTAAATACAGGAGGCTGTGACTGGATCTTAAATGCCCCTCAAATTCTACAACTCCAACGAGCCTTAGGCCTTTGGCAGATGGAGGGCAGGGAGGGCTTCCTTAGGAGGGTGGAGAAAGCCACAACAGGCCCCAGCCTGCACCATCACACAGCTCATCCCCTGCTGGGATCTGGGCACAGTACGCGGAGCTTTCCAGCCCGCAGATGTTCTTCCACTGCAGACATGGATGGGTAGCCCTTTATGAAGTTCTCCAGGTCGACTTTGGTCAGGCAGCTCAGCCCTTTCATTTTCTGCAGGAGGCTGTTTGTCTTTTGGAATTCTTTCTGCATTTTGTGGGTTTCCAGGAGCGCCTTGTGCTGCAGTTTCATCTCTGTCTCAGAGTCTTTCACCTGCAAAGAGTGGATTCCCAGAAAGCTGTTAGGCTCAGCCGTGTCCCTAGGCCCTGGGGGGTTTCCCTTTCTAGTGAGTCCCTGCGCTAGGACTAGGTTGGAGCCTTCCATGACATATCAGTGTTGTGCTTTTACTGAAGAAATGTTAGGGAAGAAAGTTTCTGTCTCCTTAGCATCCCTGTACTACCTTTCCCACCTTCTCCTCTGTGCTTCCTCTGTCCCCAGCTCTCCAGCTCCCCTCTGGCCTGTGCCACATCCTCTGGGGTTTGCTCTCCACAGGAGTGTCAGGATACTTGTGCCCCCTGCCTTCTCACTACCAGGTTTCTACAGGGAACAGGACACCAGAAATTAGAAGTCTGTTTTCTGCTTCTGTCTGTCCCTCCACTTCTGCCTTAGTCTTAAAAAAAAAGACAAACAACCCTAGAAGAAGTGAAAATATATTCCACTCAGTCATTCAGGACTAACTCTGAACCGCCAGAGGTGTATGGTCACAGGTGAGTGAAGAGGGGTATATGGTATACAGAGATATTTTTTGTCTCCCTGCATGTGGTCAGACAGCTAGGGAAAAGACTTTTCTTTAGATGAGGGTTTCATAACCTTTTTCTGTGACATGGACCCCTTTGGCAATCTGTTGAACCCTTCCCAGAATAAATGGGTTTTTGTTGTTTTTGCCTACATTCATAGTTGAAGAAAATATTAAATTTCAGATGGAGGTTAATAAAAATATAATTTTTTTTCCCCATGCAAGTCCACAGACCACCATGGAATCTGTCCATAGGCTCCACAAGAGTCTAGGTCCCCTAGTTTATAGACTCCTAATTTAAGGGGAACACAGTTATAGCGATACACAGGTTAGTTTTGACGATGGTGAGTTACTTCTCCTCTTTCCCACTTCCTTTAGCCATGCCAGAAAAGCTGTTGGAATAACTGGTGCCTCCTGGGAGAGAGCATTGGATTGATAGCCAAAGGACTCAAGTTCCAATTCCACAGCTAACACTTAGGGCCTGTTGGATGTAGAACAAATAACTTTAACCTGTCTTGAGTTTCAGTTTCCTCACCTATAAAAGGAGGGGATTGGGTTAGATAGCTTTTAAGAACCTTCATCTCTAAGTCTATGATGATAATAATAGCTAACATCTATTTTTAGGGTTGCATAGCACTTTACATATATGATCTCAGCTAATGATGATGATGATGATGATGATGATGATGATAAGCTATATAGCACTTACTATGTGCCAGGCACTGTGCTAAATGCTTTACAGTTATTATCCCATCTGACCCTCACAACAACCCTGGGAGGGAGGTGCTATTATTATCCCCAATTTACAGGTGAGAAAACTGAGGCTCAGGAAAGTGTGTTAGAGTCACATAGCTAGTAAGAGCCTGAGGCAGGACCGCCTTGAACCCAAGCCTTCTTGCTCTGATTCTCCAATCATTTCTTTTGGCGTTGCCTTCTACCCTCTCCTTAGTATATCCTCTCTGGGAAGTTTTCTTGCTTTCTTTCTCCCTTTTCCCTACCAGGGAACACATAACGGTTAACTCTGGGTTATTTAGGGGCTGATTAGGGGCTCTTGTCCCCTCTGGCTGTTGTCACTTGGGTAGTCTGTCCTCGCTATTATTAGCCACTGAGTGAATGTAAGAAATAAAAAGCGATGAAATATAACTATCAGTTAACTTTTCCAACTTGTTAGCCGGTCTTATAAAATATGTGTGTGTGTGTGTGTGTGTGTGTGTGTGTGTGTGTGTGTGTGTGTGTGTGTGTAAAAGTGGCTAAAATGAGGAGTTGGAGGGAGTAACCTGTGGATTTAAATAATCTTTTCTGGTCATGTGTTGTTAGGAAACAACAGGGATGGATGGGTGGATGGATGGATGGATGGATTGGATGGATGGATGGATGAGATGGATGGATGGCACAATGTGCTGTTCAAAGCAGACTCCTTGAACGTGAGTCATGAGCTTGGGGAGTGATGCAGGTAGATGAAAGAAGAAAGCTTACCTTGACCTTGGTGCCCAGATTTAAGTGGATTTTTTGTTTGTAGTAACTGAAGGTGATAAGCACTTTATCCTGGGTTTTAACGTGGACACCAAAGCATGGATTGAGATCAAAGTAAATCGACTGGTGAGGGGGTGCGTGGATATGCTGATTTGGGTCCCACCAGTTCCAGGCCTTCTGTCTTCCTTTTGCATCAAAGTAGAAGCCCAAATTCAAACCCAGACACATCCTAGACCAAGAAGCCCACAGTCAGACAGCTTCACAGGCAGGTTCTTTTAAAGACAGGATTCCATTTGTTGTCTAACTCCCTTTCCCACCTCTGCCTCTCACCACTTGACTTGAACACAAGTCAGGTAAGTGGGGGCCCATTTTACTCTTGCTAAGAGATGTTACTGTGACTGTGTTCACAAGTTGGAAGGCTCTTATCCAGCTGAGGTGGACCCATTAAATCTCCCTTCTAAGAAGGCATATGCTCTAAGGTGTTTTAAGATAGATGTATAAGAGGGTGGATAGAATGCCTCAGAAAGATGTGAGTTTGAATCAAAGAGGTTGGTACTATTCTTTTTTAACAAAAACATAAAAAATAGATGTTTGTTGATATCTTTTGTCATTCTATTGCCTAGGTTTCCTTCTTCACTCATTCCCTTGGCAGGGAGCCATCCCTTATAACAAAGGATTTATTTTAAAAAAAAAGAATAAAACAAAAGTAGAGGGGAAAAAAATCAGCAAAAGTGACCAACATACTGAGAACATCGGACATTATCTATAATGTTTCACACCCGTGGACTCTAATCTCTGCGAAAGATGGGGGCAGGAGGGTGGGAAGTATGTTCTCCAATCTTTTATCTGTGGCCACGCTTCTTCTTTGGAATTTTACTACATTCAGTTTCAGTTACTTCCATTTATGGTTGGTCAGTCAATCAACTAGCATTTATTAAGTGTCTACTGCTATGCTAAGCACTGGGGATATAAAGAAAGGAATCCCCACCCCCCAAACAACCCATACCTTCTCAAGGAGCTAACAGTTTAATGGGGGCAAGAGCATGCTGGTAAATGTTTAACAGCTGTTGTTCTTGTTATTCACTCATGTCCAACTCTTCCTGACCCCATTTGGGGTTTTCTTGGCAAAGATACTGGAATGGTTTACCATTTCCCTCTCCAGCCCATTTTACAGATGAGGAAACTGAGGCAAGAAGGGTGAAGTGATTTGCCTGGGGTTACATAGCTAGTGAATGTCTGAGGCTGTATTTGAACTCAGGTCTTCCTGACTCCAGTCCCAGCACTCTATCCACTGCACTATCTAGCTGCCCAGCAACTAGCTCTCCAAAAAATAAAAAGTCCATACTATTACGTTTAATCTTCATTATTAACTGTTTCTCTATCAGCTTCCTTACCTAGAAAGTCAACAAAACAATAAATAAATCCCTGATTTGTAGTGTTGTGTATTTTTGAGATGTAAATGCTTATGCTGAAAACATTAACAATTGGCTCTCCTGAACCCCTCTGAGCTGAAACAGTATGCAAACAACTTCGTGCAAATGATATAAACGGGATAAACCAGGAGCAGTTTCAGAAGGAAGGCAGCTAGGTGGTGCAATACAGTGTCTGGCCTGGAGTCAGGAAGACCCGAGTTCAAATGTGGCCTCAGCTATTAGCTGTGTGACCCCAGGCAAGTCACTTCACCCTGCTTGTTTCAATTTCCTCATCTGTAAAATGAGCTGGAGAAGGGAAAGGCAAACCACTCCAGTGTCTTTGCCAAGAAGAGCCCAAATGGGGTCACAGATTGCTGCACATGATTGAAATGATTGAACAACAACATTCTGGTGCTACCTACCTAGTCAGTGACAAAGCCTGTTTAAGCCTACCCCAGTTATGTCAGATACCTCTTTGGGGAGTAATCTCCCAGGAAATTTAGGGTGTGGGGATAAGCACAGTGAAGATCACTTAGTTCTTAAATATTTAGCAATAGTGATTCCCACCCCCCCACGCCCTGCCCAAAAAAAAACCTCTCCCAAATAAAAAACCTGAATCCCTCTGCCTTCTCCAAAGAAATTTTTGAAAAATCTAAAACAAAATTGTCCATTCCTTGAAACACACAACTCAAAATCCTTTTTAAAGGTTCAAAACTTTATGAATGAATTTTCATTAATACCCCAGCCTGATAAATGGAGGATGAAATCAGAGAAGCAGCAACATATATTGTAAATAGTGAGGTGAACGTGCAGGCCATCGGCGAGTAATATTGATTACCAGGTTACTTGGAGACAATGTATTCTACAAGCTCATTCTCAGGAGAAAATAGTTCACTTTCCTCAAAGATTTGCCCTTTTTTTTTTGTCACGTTGTACTTTAGTCATTTTTTAGCAATGTCTGACTCATTGTAATCCCATTTGGGATTTTCTTGGCAAAGATACTGGAGTGGTTTGCCAAAGAAACAGAGGCAAACAAGGTTAAGTGACTTGTCCAGGGTCACGCAGCTAGTTAAGTGTCTAATGCAGGATTTAAACTCAGGTCTCCCTGGCTCCAGGCCTGGCGCTCTATCCACTGTGCCACTTAGCTGTCCGTGACAAGATTCTCACCTATAAAATGAGGGTGGAGAGGTTAGGCTAAATGGTCTGTAAGTTCCCTTTATAGCTCTAAGTACTATGATCTGAAGATGCAGCATACATCTGCAAAGTTGTTTCAGTGTTGTTATTATCATTGTTATTTTTTTTTGTATGGTAGTTCTATGTGTGTGTCATCTCCTCCATGATGGCAGGGACTTCCATCCCTCATAATTCTATGGCTCTAGGATGAAGGCCCTCCCTCCCCACATTACGTTAACCCAATTCTCTGAGGCAATCAGACTTTGCCAGACATTGGCTTTCTAAACCAATTTTTCCAAAGTTTGACCTCCAAGATTTCTCTGGAATGACCACCAGGCTGTGGGATTTATGATTCCTATTTGACCATAAAGAAAGAAAAGGCAGGAAGGTAAAAGAACATATCCAGAGAGGTCATGATTAAGCTAAGAATAGAATCCAGGTTTTTAAAATCTCAGACCAGGGCACCATCCATTTTTACCACAGTGCCCCTCTGTGGGCCCCAAGAAAGCTGCTCATACTACCCAAGCTTACCGGATGTTCTGTTCTTTGTCATAGAAGGTAGCATGTCCCATGTTGTTGAGGAGGGCCTGCAAGTGTAAGTTTTCTTCATCTTTGAAAATCATGTAGGTGAAGGCATCACAGTCTTCTGTGTGTGAGATAACCAGTGCTATATTCCCTGATGGGTAACTGGGAAACTGTTAAGGCACATTCAGTCAATTTGGAATCTACTTAAAAAATAAACCTACGCAGAACACACTCACAAGGCTTAGTAAAAAACATACATGTGGCAATGTAGTGCTTGCTGTCCCTAGCTAGTGTGCAGCCCCAGGTATGTACCATACTTGCCACCATGTATTAAAGTTAAGTATTTCTGTGCCCAAGCAGATACTAAATCTGACCTGTCCCATCTGGAAAGAAAATGGAGAGTGGCTTAGAGTCACAATCTTTACCCTTCGGACCCTTGTAAAATGTTGGAACACCGAACCCTCGATGAGCCTGGGGAAAAAGGAAAAATCAATTAAGTGAGTAAGAGACTAGTCCCTCTGAAGTGCAGTGCCTGAAGTTTTGCCTCAAGTTGCTTAAGCTGTGATCCAGTTTTCATTATCTAAACATGCCTTAGATCACTAAACACCAACTCACACAAATGGCTGGGTGATCTGTGTACTAAACTAGGAATCAGGAAGAACTGGGTTTAAACCCTGCCACAGATACTATCTGTGTGACCTTGGACAAGTCACTTAACATCTCTCTGCCCAAGTATATTCTGTACAATGGGTCCCTTAGAGCTTTAAATCTATGTTCCTATTCGGGCCTCAGTTTCTTCTTCTGTAAAATGAGGGGCCTCGAATTAATGCTAGCGAAATAGTTTACTTTATACGCAGAGGCTGTGTGCCCTGTGAAGTTATGCTTCAGGATAGGAGATGACTGCTTTGTGTGAAACATTCCACCTTTTTTATTGGTGAGAGGAGGGGAGGATGGGAAAGAGAGGAAAGCTGGACTTTCTATGGTGAATGCCAGCCCTTTAAATCCAGGGCCAGATTTTCCCCAAAGGCTTCCTACTTATCAAATCTAGCCTTCCCTCAAATGAGCAATGATTACACCATCATTTTCCCTAGTGGAGGCCTTTATCACTTTTCCTCTGGACTATTGTCTAATGGTCTCCCTGCCTCCAATCTAATCCACCCTCCATGTGGATGGCAAATTCTATTCCTGAAGCTCAAGTTTGGCCATATCACTCACAGCTCATTTTATAGACAAGGAGCCCAGGCTAACAAAGTTGAGTCACTTGCCCAGGGTCACACAGCTAGTAAGTATCATGTTTGAGCCTGGATTTGAACTCAGGTCCTCCTGACTCCAGGGCCTGTGCTCTATCCACTGCTGTCCTCCAATTTACTTTGGAAAAAGACAAATGATGGTGAACATGGGAGAGAGAATTGACTTCTGGCCCTTTCTAGATATCATTAAGGAAAGCAGCTCAGTCCAGATGGCCTCTCTATGTACTGGTCTGGGGAAGGAGAGTCTATGGCCCCATTCCTTGTAGCTGACAAGTTTCTGTGTGTTCTTGGTTCAGGGGAGAGTGATTCTGTTCATAACAACAGCACATGTTTATTATGTGGTGCTTTTTGGCTCAGCAAGAGATCAAAATGATCATCTATGTATGAAGAAATCAAATGGCATGGTTTTTGACATGGTATTCCCCTACTATTTTTATTATTATTATTATTTTGTGAGGAAAAGTGAAATCAGGGGTTTTGGGGGGGAGGAGCCTTCCCTATTTTGAAGATTAGGAATGTACTGCTGCCATTTTTTTTAATATAAATTTATTTATTTTTAGCTTTCAACATTCACTTCCACAAGTTTTTGAATTCCAAATTTATACCCCATCTCCCCCCTCTTCCCACCCCAAGATGGCATGCATTCTGAATATCCCTTCCCCTAGTCTGTCCTCTCTTCTATCTCTCTCCCCTTCTCTTATCCCCTTCCGCTTCTATTTTCCTGTAGGGCAGGATAGACTTCTGTACCCCATTTCCTGTATTTCTTATTTCCCAGTAGCATGTGAAAACATTTTTTTTAAACATATGTTTTTAAAACTTTAGGTTTCAAATTTTCTCTCTTCCTCCCTCCCCACCCCACCCACCCACCCTCATTGAAAAGGCAAGCAACTCAATATAGGTTGTACATGTGCAGTTATGCAAAACACGTCCATAGTAGACATGTTGTGAAAAACTAACTCTATTTCCCTTAATCTTATCCTGCCCTCCCATTTATTCTATTCTTTCTTTTGACCCTGTCCCTCCTCAGAAGTATTTACTTCTGATTACCCCTTTCCCAATCTGCCCTCCTCTCTATCATCCCCCTGCTCTCTTGTCCCCTTCTCCCCTATTTTCCTGTAGGGTAAGACAGATTTCCATACCCAATTGAATGTGTATGTTATTCCCTCCTTAAGCCAAATCCTATGAGAATAAGATTCACTCATTCCCTCTCACCTTCCCCTGTTTCCCCTCCACTGTAAGAGACTTTTCTTTCTGTTTTTTTGTGAGATAATTTACCCCATTCTACCTCTCCCTTTCTTCTTCTCTGAGTATAATCCTCTCTCATCCCTTAATTTTATTCTCCAGATATGACCCCTTAATCTTCAACTCACCCTGTGCCCTCTATCTATCTATCTATCTATCTATCTATCTATCTATCTATCTATCTATCTATCTATCTATACATATACATACATATAATTTTTTCCTCCAACTACCCTAATACTGACAAAGGTCTCATGAGTTATAAATATCATCTTTCCATGCAGGAATGTAAACAGTTCAATCTTAATAAGTCTCTTATGATTTCTCTTTCCTGTTTACCTCTTCATGTTCCACTTGAGTCCTGTATTTGAAAGTCAAATTTTCTATTCAGCTCTGGTCTTTTCATCAAGAATGCTTGAAAGTCCTCTATTTCACTGAATGACCATTTTTTCCCCTGAAGGATTATACTCAGTTTTGCTGGGTAGGTGATTCTTGGTTGTAATCCTATCTCCTTTGCCCTCTGGAATATTATATTCCATGCCCTGGTCCTTTAATGTAGAAGCTGCTAAATCTTGTGTTATCCTGATTGTGTTTCCACAGTACTTGAATTGTTTCCTTCTGGCAGCTTGTAATATTTTCTCCTTGACCTGGGAACTCTGGAATTTGGCTACAATATTCCTAGGAGTTTTCCTTTGGGGATCTCTTTCAGGAGGAGATCTGTGGATTCTTTCAATTTCTATTTTGCCCTCTGGTTCTACTATATCAGGGCAGTTTTCCTTGATAATTTCTTGAAAGATGATGTCTAGGCTCTTTTTTTGATCATGGCTTTCAGATAGTCCAATAATTTTTAAATTCTCTCTCCTGGATCTATTTTCCAGGTCAGTTGTTTTTCCAATGAGATATTTCACATTGTTTTCTAATTTTTCATTCTTTTGGATTTGTTTTAAGTGTCTTGATTTCTCATAAAGTCACTATCTTCCAATTGCTCTATTCTAATTTTTAAGGAAGTATTTTCTTCAGTAATCTTTTGGACTTCCTTTTCCATTTGGCCAATTTTTCTTTTTAGGGCATTCTTCTCCTCATTGGCTTTTTGGACCTCTTTTGCCATTTGGGTTAGGCTATTTTTTAAGGTGTTATTTTCTTCAGTATTTTTTTGGGTCTCCTTTAGCAAGCTGTTGACTTGTTTTTCGTGATTCTCTTGCATCACTCTTAGTTTTTCCTCTACTTCTCTTACTTCTCAAAATCCCTTTTGAGCTCTTCCAAGGCCTGGGACTGATTCATATTTTTCTTGGAGGCTTTGGATGTAGGAGCTTTGACTTTGTTGTCTTCTTCTGGTTGTATATTTTGATCTTCTTTGTCACCAAAGTAAGATAATATAGTCTGACTCTTTTTGCGCTGCTTGCTCATGATCCCGGCCAATTACTTGAGTTTTAAACTCTTTGTTAAGGTAAGAATCTGCTTCCAATGTGGAGAATGTACTGTCCCAAGTTTCAGGGGTTTGTATAGCTGTTTTCAGAGATACTTGTAGGGACCTGTAAATTTTCAGTTCTTCCAAGGTGGTATGATACGGGGCGAGGTGTTTACCCCTTTCCTGGCCTGTGACCACAAGTATTCCTTTCTGTCCTGTAACTGTGAGGAAGGGTTTCTCTCCACAGCCACTCCAAGCTCTACCAGGCCAGCGCTCCTCCTCACCCCAGCACTGCTGCCCAGAACTGTGACCCAGATCCAAACAGGGGCAAAACAAGAGATTCCTGCCTCAGCACTGGCAAAGAGATCCCTGCAGTCCCTCTCTGATCAGCCACTGGATTCCCCCTCAGTCTGTGGGCTGGAAGCTTGGGAAGCAGCTGCCCCAGCCAGGGTCACACTCTTGGGGAATGGAACTGAAACCCCACCTTCCTGTCTCAGCACCGATAGAAACAGACTTTTCCCACTGACCTTCTAAGTTGTCTTTGGCATTCGTGGATTGAGGAGTCTGGAAACCTCCACAGCTGCCCGAAATTCAGTCCTCTGAGGCCTGATCCAGGTTTGCTGTGGCCTGCGCGCCCACGCTGCGCTGCGCTCCCAGCCCGGCTCGATACACCTTTCTGATCAATCATCCAGATTGTCTTGGGCTGGAAATTTGCTTCACTCTGTCTTTTTGTGGGTTCTGCTGCTTCAGAATTTGTTTAGAGCCATTTTTTATGAGTATTTGGAGGGGTTTGGAGGAGAGCTCAAGCAAGTCACTGCTTTCACTCTGCCATCTTGTCTCCACCCCCCTACTGCTGCCATTTTCATAGGTTCCTTTTGTAACCCATGGGGTGTGGGCCACGCCCACTTGTAGTGCCTCCCACCTCTCACTTAGGTGTGTTACAATGGGCACAGAACTCTACTCATTCTACTTGGCTAGTTCTTTTGCCCATTCTGGCAGGTGTATGATCCCCAGGGACAGAACACTCGAATTCTCTCAGGATCTTAGAGTCAACTCTATTGAGAGGGAATGCTCTCCCCCTACTCACCACTGTAGCTCTTGAGCCCCTACTAATGCATTTTTGTTTATACAATTAGCCAATAACAATGACATTTTTAGATCTTAAAATTCAACATTTATGTGAATAAGATAGTCTCATAAAGATCTTATAGAGATGAGAAATAATCCTATCTGTTGGTACTTTCTGTTCCTTTCTATCACCCAGGTTTGTAGCCTTGGAGTCATTCTCATCTCCTTACTCTTCCTCACCAGTTATATCTAATCAGGTGCCAAAACGTGTCAGTTTTACCTCCATAACATCTCTCATACCCATCCCCTGTTCTCTGCTCATACAACTACTGCCCTAGTTCAGGCTCTTGTCAAATCTCACCTAGACTACGGCCACAGTCTCTGAAATGGTATTTCTGTCTTGTCTTTCCTCAATAATCTAATTCATCTTCCACACAGTAATACCTGCTCAGTGAACTCACTATCCCACTCTCTATAGTGCCTCTTCCAAACCTTCTGTCCCTCATTAAACCTCCCATGGCTCCCCTCCTCCCACTCTTTCAGCCTAGTATCGTACTCTACTGTACGCATATTTTACAGAAAAAATTGGGGCCATTTTCTGTAAGCTCTCTCTTCTCTCCTCCTTATCTCGTGTCTTTCAGATACCTTCTGCAATTATCTTTTTTGCCCCTGGCTCACATGAAAAGATGATCCTATTTTTAACTAAGGTGAACCCCTCTACCTGCACAAGAGATACCAGTTCCATCTTGTCTCCTGCAACAGACTGTCCCCTTTATTGTCTCCACTCTCTCTTATTTTCAATTTCTTCCTTCTCTACTGCCTGCAAGCATGCTCACATTTCCTCCATCCTCAAAAATCCCTCACTTGATCCTTCCATCCCCACTAATGATCATCCTATATATCTCTTCTGTCCTTTGTGACTAAACTCCTTCTACAATAAATGCCTCCACTTCCTTTCTTTTCACTCTCTTAATCCCCTACAATCCCACTTCCAACTTCATCATTTCCCTTAAACTGCTGTCTTTAAATTTAGCAATGGATTACCTACTTGCTAAATCCAGTGGCCTTTTCTCAATATTCATTCTTCTTAATCTCTTTGCAGCCTTTAACTCTGGTTGGTTATCCTTTTTTTTTTTAATTGGGGTTAAGTGATTTGCCCAGGGTCACGCAGCTAGTAAGTGTCAAGTGTTTGGTCTGAGGTCCTCCTGACTTCAAGGCTGGTACTTTATCCACTGTGCCACCTAGCTGCCCCTGGTCATCCTCTTCTTGATCTTCTCTTTTCTCTAGGTTTTTGGGACATCACCTTTTCCTAGTTCTCCTCCTACCTATCAGACTACTCTTTCTCTGTCTCTTTTGCTGGGTCCTCTTCTGGATCAAAACCTCTAACCATAGGTGTCCCCCAGGGCTGTATCCTGTGACCTTTTTTCTAATACTACTTTACTTGGTGGTGATATCATCAGCTTCCATGGATTTAATTATCATATCTATGCTCAAATTTACCTATCCTGCCCTAACTTCTCTTCTGACCTCCAATCTTGTATCTTCAACTGCCTGTTAGACATCTAGAAGTGGATGTACAGTAGACATCTTAAACTTAACATGGTCAAAACTGAGCTCATTATCTTTCCCCCTTAGCCCTCTGCCCTTTCCCAGCTTCACTAATATCATCAAGGGCACCACTATCCTTCTAGTTCCTCAGGTTCACAACTTAAGTGTCATCTGCTCCTCACCATCTCTCATCCTCCGTATCCAATCCATTGCCAAGGCCTATTGATTTCCCCTTTGCAACATTTCTCAAGTATCTCCCCCTTTTCTCCTCTGACACTGCCCCATCTCTGGTGCATGCCCTCATCGGCTCATGTCTGCACTACTCCCATAGCCTGCTGAGGGGTCTGCCTGTCTCAAGTCCCTCCCCACTCCAGTCCATCCTCTATTCAGCCACTTGAGTGATTTTCCAAAAGTGCAGTTCTGACCGTGTCTCTCTCTCACACACACACACACACACATACACACACACACACACACACACACACACACACACACACACTCCTTCCCCCAACACTAAATAAGCTGTAGGGTCAAATGCAACATCTTTTGTTTTGGCATTCAAAGCCCTTCATAACCCAACAGTGTCCCCCACTGTCTTTCCAGTTCTCTTACAATTTATACCCAACTATGTACACTTTGATCCAGTGACCCTGGCTTCTGTGCTATTCCATGAATAAGACCCTTCATCTCTTCGTTCTGGGCATTTTCTTTGACTGTCCCCCACGCCTTCAATGCCCTCTCCTCGTCTCCACCTCCTGGCTCATCTGGTTTCCTCTAAGTCCCAACAAAGTCCTAACCTCTCTTAATTCTAGTGACTTCTCTGTGTTAATTATTTCCTGTTTATCCTGCGTATGGCTTGTTTGTACGTATTTTGTTTGCTTTGTTTGCTAGATTCCACGTTACCAGATTTACCACTTCAAAGAGCATTAAATATTTATGTGCATCCTTAGAATTTGTTTTACTTAGGACTAATCTTCCCTTAATCTACCTTCTTTCAAATTCTCCCTCCCCTCTCCTCCCCTTTCTATCCTATTTTCCCAGTTGAATGAAATATATTTCTGTATCCAACTCTGTGTGTATGTATTTTTTTTCTTGACCAGTTCAGATGATAGTGAGGTTTAAATGTCAGCCTGCCCTTGTTTGTGTAGATGTCTGTCATAATCACATTCTAATTATGTGAGATAATCCTCCCTAACCTTTCTTTCCCTTCCCTTCTCCTCCCCCACCATTTATTCCTCTTTCTCTAGTTTTCCATTCTTTTGTTAAGATCATCAAAACACAGTAAAGCCATTCTAAGGCCTTGAAGAATTGGATCCCTGATGAGGATGGAATTCCAAGGGGACACATGTAACATCTCTCCATATTAGAATGAAAGCAGTTTATCCTTGTTTTTTCACATTTACCTTTTCATATCTCTTCACTCCTGTGTTTGTACTTCAAAGTATCTCTGTAGCTTGGGTCTTTTTATTAGGAATGCTTGGAAGCCCTCTATTTCATTAAACAGCCATCTTCCCCCTCTGTAGGATTATACTCAGTTTTGCTGGGAAATTATCTTTGGCTGTAAGTCCATATCCTTTGCCTTTTGGAATATCATATTCCAAGTTCTCTTCATAGTGGACACCACTAAATCATGTGAGGTCTGGATTGTACTCAGTACTTGAATTCTTTTTTTTTTTTTCCTAGCTGCTTACAATATTTCTTCTGTGACTTTGAAACTCTGGATTCTAGCTGTAATGTTCCTGAGAGTTTTCATTTGGATTTTCTTTTAGGAGGTGACCACTGGATTCTTTCTTTTTCTGCTTTTCCCTCTGGTTCTAAGAAATCGGAATAATTTTCTTCTGGGTTTTCTTAAAATAGGATGTCTAGATTCTTTTTATGATCATGGTGTTTGCATAGTATGATGATTCTTAAATTTGTTTTCTCCTTTATCTCTTTTCCATGTCAGTTGTTTTTCCTATGAGATACCTTACATTTTCTTCTATTTTGTCAGCCTTTGACATTGTTTTCATATTTCTCGTTCCCTCATGGAGTCATTGGCTTCTATTTGCTCTATTCAAATTTGTTGTGATTTTGTTGCTTGCGCTAGGTTTTATACTTCTTGTCCCAAGCTGTTAATTAATTCCCTTTCCAATTCTTCTTCCATAGCTCTTCTTTTTTCTTCAAGCACTCTCATTTCATTTATAAAAAAAAAAATTTTTAAAACTCTTTTAACTCTTGCTTCATTTCTTCCAGGAATTCTAGTTGAATTTTGGCTTAGATTGTGTTTTTCTCTGAGGCTTTGCTTGTAGATGTTTTGAAGTTATTCTTTCCTTCAGGTTGTGTATATTGAGCTGACATGCTGCCAAAACAGCTCATTATGGTGGGGTTCTTTTTTTCATTTGTTTGTGTTTTCCCATTCTTCCAGCCTACTTCCTGACTTTAGACTTGATGTTAGGGCTGGACAATACCACTTCGGGAGGGGAGGTTAGGACAGATCTTGTTTCTGTTTTCTTGGGGTATTAAATGTTGTGTTATTCCAGGATCTCAAGGACAGGCTGGGGACCTGAAAGCTTTCATTGCTCCCAAAGTGATCTAGGCCAAAGTCTGATTGCTTTGGTCTAAGTTCTGCAAGTTCCTGCCCTGAATTTGAGTTCTAATAAGAGCAGAGGGCTGCTACATCCAGCCCATATCAGCCAGCTAGAAAGCTCTGTTTGTTCAGAGTGGCAGGCTGGTCCTGGTCTGGAATTCCTTCCCTGATTATTCTTCTGCAGGCTGGGTTAGATGCTGGAAATGAGATCCTCCCAAGAGCCTGGGATCTGAGCCACACCACCACTACTGCTGCTGGCTTCCCTGCTGAACTTCCTCCTTTCTTGATACATCATCCAGGGCCTCCCTGCCTGAGAATGCCACCCTCCCCATCCTTTCAGGTCCCCTTCACAGTCCGAACTGAATCTGTGACCTGGAACAGGGTAGTGGCTAACAAAGCTGCCAGTTCACACCTGTCCCTGTAAGAGTGCCCTAGTGTGTGTTTGGCAGTGTCCCAGTAGGGATATAGGACCTCCTCTTGCCCTGGTTCCAAGGTGGGCTGGATAAATAGCACTGTGACCTTTTCTAATTTCTCCATCAGGATTTGGTCTGGTGTGTTTTCTAGATCTGTTTAGAGGAGTGTTTTGGAAGGAGTGAGGCACTGATTCCTACCTCTCTGCCATTGTAGCTCTTCTTTTTCTCTTTCTTGATTAATTTTTAGAGTCCTTCTATTTTGCTCTATACTCTATAGGGTCTATGCTCCCAGTCCCTATCACGTCACTGGTGATGTGACAACTTCCGCAAACAGACCCTTCTTCTGAAAATGCTCTGTGTCAAACCCAAGTCCCCAGTGGCCCTGTGCCTTTGACTGGGAGGCATATTTCAGCACTCATTAGGCTGCCAATGATACCTGGACTATGGAGTCAAGAGAGGGTATGTGTGGCTCTATCTCTGACTGCATCTGTCCACACCTTCCTATTCTGTGCTTGACTATACCGGCAAATCATTTTTGCCTATCCAAGTGTCTCTACTTCACCAAATTCAACCCCAAACTTGTGCTGGTTTTTATCACTCCCTGATAAGTATGGACAGAGTTCTGCCTTTATTAGATTAACCTGGGTGAAGCAGTGAAGGAATTCCAATATTATTGCTTACCTTAGTAACCTCTTCTAACCACACTTCATCCATTACCACCAGTTCATGGACAGAGGCCACAGGAGATACCTCTGGAGATCGGATTATACGATATTCTTCTATGTCTATCACATTTGAATTCTCTGTTATAGCTGTCGGGTGGGTCCCTGTAATGATGCAGGAAGAACGAGACTTAGTGAAACTTTCATGGGTTTAGGAAAAGGAGCAGGATCCCTTAAGGAATACTTCCTAGGTTCATTGATTTGGGGCTGGAATGGACCTCCGAAGTCATCTAGTTCCACCCCCTCATTTTGTAGCTGAGGAAATGGAGGTGCAGATTAAGTGACTTGCTCAGAGTTACACAGTTAACAAATGCCTAAGGTAAGATCTGAACCCAGGTCCCTTGACTCCTTAAAACTTTTCCATCACCATATTTCTTCTGAGGCGCCTATCTGAGATCCTGATCAGTGGTAATTTGAGGCTTAAGGAGAATTTAAGGGCTTTATTTCTTTTCAGGGTAGGTTTGAGTTTATTTGCTGCAGTTACTTGGCATTAGTTTTTTGAGGCAAAAAAAATCAGAACAATTATTTTTTTAGTATTTTGTTGATGCTTTCTTTCTTCTTCTTTTTTTTTATAGTACTTCCGACATCTCCATTCTCTCTTTATGTTCAAATTCCCCATATTTTGGCTGCTTCCCTTCTGGCTATAGACATACTCCTGTCCCCCCCAAAACTCTCACTTCATCTGTCCATCCCCACTAGAAATAATCCTATATCTCTCCTTCCTTTCATGGCTAAATTCCTTAAGAAAGCTATCTGCAATTGGTGTTAACTCTCTTCTCACTTTTTTCTAAACTGTCTGATGTCTGGCTTAATTAATGATGTTGCTAATGATCTGATGAGTAATTAATAGTTAATTAGCTAATGATGAGTTACTGATGATCTCTTAATTGCAAAATCTAATGGCTTTTTCCTCAATCCTCATCCTTGACCTCTCCATAGCCTTTGACATTGTTAATCACCTCTCTTCTCCCTAGGTTTTATTGATACTCTCTTCTTTCCTGGTTCTTTTACCTTTCTGACTTCTTTTCATTCTTCTTTACTGAATCTTTATCCAGGTTATACCCACTAACTGTGGATGTCCCCCAAATGTCTGTCCTGGGCCTTCTTTTTTCCCTCTATATGAGCTAGCTTGGTATTCCCATCAGCTCTCATAGATTAAGTCATCATGTCAATACAGATAATTCTCACATCTATTTATTCATCCTTAACATTTCTCCTGATCTCCAGTCTCACATCACCAGCTGCCTAGGGTTATCTCCTGATTTGTATCTTGCCACTGGACCCAGATGGCTCTAGAGGAGAAAGTGAGGCTGGTGACCTTGCACAGCCCTCCCTCACTTAAATCCAATTCACTTGCTTGTCATAGCATCCCCTTCCTGATGTCATGGTCCTCTTCGAGAATAAAGGACAGACAACAACAACCACACCAGCTGCCTATTAGATGTCTCAAACTGGATGTCCCATAGAAACCTCAAACTCAACCTGTCCAAAGCAGAGCTCATTATCTTTCCTTCTACACCTTCCCCTCTTGTATAGGTTCCCTTCTTTCCACCCACATAGCTGCTACCCTCATGCAGGCCTTCATCTCCTCACTCCTGGACTATTGTGATAGCCTGCTGATGGGTCTCCCTGCCTCAAATTTCTCTCCGCTGGAGTACTGTCTCTCCTAATCCCTATATACAATATATCATATAATAGATATGATATAATGTATACCATATTTATATATAATAATATATAGTATGTGTTGATCTTATCATCAATATTCACTCATCTCCTGCCTCCCACACTGTCAGCTGAGAACATTGCCATTGAGGGTACCACTATCTTCCCAATCATCCAGGTTAGCAACCTAGGTGTCATCCTGGAATCCTTACACTTTCCTCCTTCCCATATCCAATCTGTGATAAGGGCTGTCAATTTTGCCTTTGTAATATCTTTCGTGAATGTCCCCTTCACTTCTCCGATACTTGCTTCCACCTGGGTATAAGCTGTTACCACCTCACTCTTGGATTATTGCAAAATCCATAGGTTGATCTATCTGCCTCAAATCTCTTCCCACTCCACTCCATTCTCCACTCAGTGACCAAAGTGGTCTTCCTAAAGAGCAGGTGTAACTGTGTCACACCCTGTGCCCCTCCCCTATTCAATAAGCTTCAGTGGCTCCCCATCACCTCCAAGATCTAATATAAAATTTTCTCATTGGCATTCAAAGCCCTTCATAACCTTGCCGTTCCTACTATTCTGATCTTCTCATGTCTAAGGATCTCCTACAAACTCTTTGATTCTTTCAATTCCTTGCACAAGATACTCCGTTTCTCAGTTTTGTACATTTTCACTGACTGTCCCCAATTCCTGGAATGCTCTCTTCTTCATCTCTGCCTCCTGGCTTCCTTCAAGTCCCAGGTAAAATCCCACCTTCTAACAGGAAGCCTTTTCTCTCACCATCATTCTACAGGGGATTATTCATTCTTCCTTCCATTGACTATCTTGAATTTATTCTACACGTAGCATGGCTGTACACATGTTGTCTCCCCCATTCGTTGGCCTGTGAGCTCCTTGAAGGAAGGACTGACTGTCTTTTGCCTTTCTTTGTATCCTCAGTGTTTAATACAGTGCCTGACACATTGATATTTATATTTATTTATGGTGCTTTTTAAGTATTTTATATAAATATAAATATTAATTATTCGACTTACTGACAAATCTTTTTTTTAAAAAAAACAAAATCATATAAATAGAGAAAAATTATAAAAAGATTATTTCTACTTCTGATAAATAAACTACTAGTTGTTTAAGTGTTTTCCATTGTAGAACACTAGCTAGAAACCAGCCCACTGTGCTTGGGAATGGATTGGAAACATGGTTAAGACACTGATTTCACTGCCCTTTTCCCTTTACTTTTAAAGTAATTGAGGGTTCCAGCTTAGATTTTTGTTCTGATAACTTCAAAATAGTCTTCAGACAACACTTTTACTATATTAGATCTATTAAGTCTCCTTTCAGACATCATGGAAGACTTCATGGAACCCAACAGGTAAAAACCAAGCAGAAAATATGGCAAGGTGAGGAGGTGACTGGTTATTCTGTGTGAATGAATGAAAGAATGAATGAAATGTTGGAGCTACAAATACAGAGATGAAGACAGTCTCTGACTTAGAATTTCATAGTGTTCTTCTTTCCTTGTATCCCCAGGGCTAAGCATAGTACCTGGCACATAGTGGTGCTTAATAAGTGCTTGTTAACTGGACATATTTGTGGACCTGATATTTATTTTTGTATCCAAGTTTAGGATTTCATTTTTCTCCTTATTAAATTTTATTGGTTCTGGCTCTTAAAGATAGTAAGACATGCCTTACCAAATCCCAGCTCTAGATCACTGCTACCATTTACCTCCTAAATGTCTACTTATTTGTTGCTGGATGGTGCTGGAGGAAGTCATGCAACTGAGCTGACTAAATTCACTACAAATTTAGGTTCTCCAATATCAACTGGGCCCTTGCTGTATGTAGCAACTCCTCCGATTGATTCACTCATACTCACTATACCAGCTGTTCCAAAATTACTTTCTTTAAGGCTCCCCACACCCTTTTCTTCCCCAACCCTTACAGCTGAGCATTTCACCTTCTACTTTATTGAGAAAAGAGAGGCCATTCTGTGTGTTCCTTCTTTTGCCTATCTCAAATCCCCTTTATATCATTTACCATTCTTTCCTTCCTTTACTCCAGCCTCTGATAAATCATGAGCCCTTTCTCACCAATGCCAACTCTTCTATGTGTAGTTTTTTGTTTTTTGTTTTGCTTTTTGATGAGGCAGTCGGGGTTAAATGACTTGCCCAGGGTCATACAGCTGGTAAGTGTCATGTATCTGAGGCCGGATTTGAACTCAGGTCTTCCTGACTCCAAGGCTGGAGCTCTATCTAATGTGCCACCTAGCTGCCCACTACGTGTAGTTTTTTTTTTTAAGGCAATTGAGGTTAAGTGACTTGTCCAGGGTCACACAGCTAGTAAGTGTCAAGTGTTTGGTCTGAGGCTGGATTTGAACTTAAGTCCTCCTGACTTCAGGACTTGTGCTCTATCCACTGTGCCACCTAGCTGCCCCTCTATGCATAGTCTTGGTCACATCCTTGCCCATCTCTTCCTACAGGTTGCTTCCAAAATCATACCCTCTCTCTAACTTTCCACCTCTCCCTAGAGGTTTGTGAACTGATACGTACAAATATATCCAACCCTTAAAAAACCCTACTCAGTTTTACGTTAGTCAAATGACTCTCAGATTTTGGACCTTTGTCTGAACTCCAGACCTGCATCATCAACTACCTGTTGGACATTTCGAATTGGATTCTCTCATGGCATTGACCCATCTCTCTCCCCCCTTTCACAACCAAACTTGAAAAAGCTGTCCATTCTCATTGCCTCATTTCTTCTCTCACTCACTTCTTAGACCCTTGTAATCTGGTTTCCTATTTTATCATTCAACTTAATAATAATAGCTAACATTTATATAGCTCTTACTATGTGCCAGGCACTGCACTAGGCCCTTTATAACCATTATCTCATTTGAGATTCACAACAACCTTGGGAGGGAGGTATTCCTATAACCTCATTTTATAGATGAGAGGAAACTAAGGCAAACAGAGATTAAGTGACTCGCCCAGGGTCACACAGGTTGTAAGTGTCTAACTCTGGATTTGAACTGAGGTCTTCCCAGGACCAGCACTCTGTGCACTGTGGCACCCTTAGCTCTTCAGAGTAAACACTGATCTTCCAAATCTGGTGTCCTTTTTCAGTGCTCATCTTCTTAACCTCTCTTCCACATTGGCCACTAGTGACCACCCTCTCCTCCTAGATATTCTCCTCTCTCTAGGTTTTTGTGGTCCTGCTCGCTCTTTGTTCTACTCTGACCTGTCTATACACTTGTTTTGAATCTTCCCTCTAGCTGTGGGTATCCCCTCAGGGCTTTGTCCTGAGTCATGTCTTTTTTTCTCTGCATACTCTCTTGGTGTCTTCATCAGTTTCCCCATGGGTTCAATTATTATCTCTACACAAATGATTCTCAGATCTCTATATCAGATCCATATGGTCTCTATCTCCAAAGGTCCATCAGCTGATGGTTATTTTGAACTGGATGTCCTATAGACATCTCAAACCTAATGTCTAAAATAGAAATCCATTATACTTTCTCCTAAATCTTCCCATCATCCAAACTTCCCTATTTCTGGTGAGGATACCACCATCCTTTCTGGCAGATGGCTTTGCAACATTGGAGGCATGCTTGACTCTTCACTCACCCTCACTGCATAGATCCAATTGTTTGCAATTGTCAGTTCTAGCTGCATGGCCTCTCTGGCGTTGGTCTCCTTCTCTCTATGGATGGGACCACCACCTTAGTTTAATCTCTCTTTACCTTTTGCTTAGGCTATTGTGATAGCCTCCTAATTGTGCTCCCTGCCTCAAGCCTCTCCCCTTCAATCCAAGCTCCACACAACTGCTAAAGGGATTTTCCTAAAGACCAAGTCTGTTCATGTTGATTGATTGACTGATTGACAGTCTCAGATAAATCACCAGCACCCATGGTCTACTGACACAGCTCTTTTCACCTACCTGCAACTTCACCCTGTTGACATGATTCCTCGGGGCTGGCTGCTTTCTCCTGGTACAAGCATGCCTGCAGCTCCATATGGTTAGTTCTTTGCTGATTCTCCCTTTCCTTGGGAAGCATAGCAACTTATGTTTATTTGCTAGTATCCTTGACAGCCAAAGCTAGAGAGCTTTGTTTATAAGGGCTAGTTCTACCAAACCTCTTATATACCTTGGGTGTGTTGGGCTCTATTTACTTAGAAAAGCAGAACTACTCACTTCTTTTCTTTAGAATCCGTGTAAAAACATCCTTGTATCTTTCAAAATTGGTTTTAAACCTAAAAGAGACATAGGCAAGTTTTAAAAAATGTTAATTAAATTTGTGTTAATGTTTTATAGCACATAGCCTAGACATTCTGAGAAGAAAGTGGAAAGTTTCACAACTCCAGAGATTATCTTTCTATACATTAGAGTGTCCTAGATAAGTGAAAGGAAGTCTTTCTTTCTTTCTCTCTCTTTCTGTATTTCTTCCTTCCTTCCCTCCCTCCCTTCCTTCCTTCCTTCCTTCCTTCCTTCCTTCCTTCCTTCCTTCCTTCCTTCCTTCCTTCCTTCCTTCCTTCCTTCCTTCCTTCCTTCCTTCCTTCCTTCCTTCCTTCCTTCCTTCCTTCCTTCCTTCCTTCCTTCCTTCCTTCCTTCCTTCCTTCCTTTCCTTCCTTCCTTCCTTCCTTCCTTCCTTCCTTTCCTTCCTTCCTTCCTTCCTTCCTTCCTTCCTTCCTTCCTTCCTTCCTTCCTTCCTTCCTTCCTTCCTTCCTTCCTTCCTTCCTTCCTTCCTTCCCTCCCTCCCTCCCTCCCTCCCTCCTTTCCTTTTCTTTCCTTTCTTTCTCTCTCTCTGTGTCTCTGTCTCTCTCCTAGACCTAAGACTGTGCATAGACAGCAATCATTAATACCCTTAATAGTGGAGTAAAAATTTATGATACGAATGGATTAAGATGAGAAAAAAAGGTCTGTTTTTGATAGCTTTCATTACAGAAATAAAATAAATGGATTTAGTTACATTTGAAAGTATTAAGATTATTCTGTAAAGTTACCAGGGAAAAAGAGTGGATAGTATGAAAGTGGGAAAAGAATTCTCATCTAGGAACTAGTGATAGAAAAGATGGCCATTATTGAGAAAATGAAACTAGAAATGTGAATTGGAAAAATAAACCACCAAAAATAAAGCCAGCTCTCCATCATCCAGGGCCACACAATATCATGGATTATCCTAAGGCTCTTTTTTTTTTTTTTGCCTTGTCCCTTTGAAATTTTTTTCTCATTTCGCTGGCACCTGCAAATAGAAAGTAGGTCAAGAAGGGCCTTGAAATGCAAATGAATCCATTAATGCTTTTTATTAGAAATTCTGATAAAAAGTATGGTGTAGGATCAGGTTTAAACAGTGGCTAAAATAGGGTTTTGAGGTTCTGTCTGGGTTTGAGTTGTTCATTCCTGTTATTACAACAGCAAGGTATGTAATCCAGCCAAGCTGTGTGATGAGGAAGGCTGCAGCTGCAGCCAGTAGCTCCAGATGAGGGCACCTGAGTTTCTTCCATACTGAGGCTATCTGCAGCTAGCACACAGAAGCAGGGAGAGGCAGAGTTTGTGCTGAAGATATTTGGAACCTAGACCTCATGCTGTACACAGGGCCATCTGTAGGATAAGAGATCTGAGTAACTGTCCCCTGGTGTCCTCAGGGCTGTGAGGATTCTCCAGGGCTCTCATGCTCTGCTGCAGAGCTACCCAAGGGACTTGGACAGAATGCTAGAGGAATTTAGTCATGGTAAATTTGGGTGGCAAGGTCTGAAGAGCTAGATCCTTGGCAGCAGCATCAAAACCCTTCTCTCCCCTTTACCTTGGGTCTATCTTAGAGATAGGGGACCAGTCAAGCCTGGAAAACTGACAGTTGAACTAATACAAAAACAAATCTGCAAATGCAAGATGCCAAGAAAATATTTAATTTGCTAAGAAATGATCCTGTTTTTGAGAAAAGCCACCAGAATAAATAATATAGGATGTTGTGGTTGTTGTTTATTCTTCATTCTTGAAGAGGACCATTGACATCACAAGGGTGGTGTCTTGACTTGCAATGAATTGGATTTAAGTGAGGCGGGACTGTGCAGTCATCAGTCTCACTCTATCCTCCAGAGTCATCAGAGTCTAGCAGCAAGATATAAGTCAAGATGACTGGCAACGGACCCTTCGTTCTTTAGAAAAGAGATGAGAGCATCTTATAAAAGTGAATGTTGAAAACTAGCTATACATGTAATTGGAAAAAACCAAAATACTATTAAGTGGGAAAGAAAAAGAGAAGAGATGAGACTTAGAGAGATTGTGACTTGTCCAGAGTCATATAATTAATGAGTGGCGGGGCTTGGATTGGAACCCTTGTCCCTTGACTCCAAATTCAACTCCTTTCCCTTGCTGTATAACACTGCCTCAGTACTATCCATTGAAGAACAAACAGGGTGGAAGAGAATTAGAAACCACATGAAAAGCAATTAAAAGAATTGAATATATTTAGCCTACAGGAGAGAAAATTGGGGAGAGACATGAATTTAGCTGTCATGTATCTTAAGGGTCGTTACTTATAAGAAAGATTCAACCTATTTCTGCTTGGTCACAGATGGCACAGTGTCTAGAGTGCCAAGTCTGAAGTCAGGAAGACTCATCCTCATGAGTTCAAATCTGGCCTCAGGCACTTATTAGTTGTATGACCCTGGACGAATCGCTTAACTCTTTCTGCCTCAGTTCGTCATCTGTAAAATGTGCTGGAGAAGGAAATGGCAAACCACTCTTTGTCAAGAAAAAAATCCCCAAAATGGTGTCGTGCAAAGTTGGACACAACTAAACAACAAAACCTAGAAATGACTGAAAGACAAAACCTAGATGGTAGAATGAAGATCACTGTGTAGAAATTTCTAAGAATTAGATTTTGGCTCTAACATTTTCTAACAATTCGAGCTGTTAAAATGTTGGCCAGACTCCTTTGGGACATAGCGAGTACCCTCTTAATGGAGGTCTTCAAGTGGAGGCTTGTATGGTCACTTGTCAGGGATGTCACAGTAAGGTCCTAATCACATTGGGGCTGGATAAGGTGATGTTTGAAATCCCTCTCAGTTATGAATTTTTGTGAATCTGCGATGCCTCTAGATTTCGTAGTCTTTCTCAGTGCTTTTGAAAAGAGATTCTCTGTAAATGGGCTAAATAGAGATGAGAGGAAGTCCAGTGATGACCCATACTTTAGCTTCATGGTTTTGATTACTTTAAGAAAGATTAATAATTGAATTCATCATAACTTCAGAAAGCTAATAGCCTGTACTAGAAAATGATTGCATACTTTCTGTATTAGTGTTCTTATCTTTTTCATTGGTGCTTCATGGTCAACAAAGGAAGACCAGAGAATGGAAGGATTCTTGGCTCACCGTCTCCATGAAAATTATTTATTTGATTTGTAATTACTTTCCTTAGGACTAAAATAATTTCCTGGGCTGCCACCCTTTATAGAGAAATGTGTGTGGAGGGAGGGTGACCATCTGTAGAGAGCAAGGGGGAGGAAGACATAGCATCAGGAACTAAAGGGAACAAATCAAATGGGATGGCTCTGATTTGATTGAAGAGGAGACAGAGGCTGAGATTCATTTAACACAGCCTGATATGGTAGAGTATTGAATTCTGTGTCAGGAAGATTGGGGTTCAAATCCCAACTCAGAGATGCCTGTGTGACTCTGAGCAAATAATTTTAACCTCTCGCTGCCTCAGTTTCCCCATTTTACAAATGGGGATAATAGCATCTTCTGCAGTTGTTGTGAGACTCAAATGAGGTAATAGAAAGTATTTTTTGAAACTTAAAGTGCTGGATAATCCCACTCTCAATAGTAAAAAGAAGAACAATAAAAACCACATTATATTTTCTAACATTTTCATCCAGGGAAAGTAGGCGAAAGGCAATATTGATGGAAAAATGGAGGAGGTGGCATACAAGAAAATTGGAGGCAGGAGTCAGTATATGTATACATACAAAGGGGTAGGGCAATCCCACACTTGCCTTGTTGGCAAGTGAAATACTAGTGGTGCTTTTATTCACACTGTTCTCCCTCCCCTTCTGGTTGAACACTCCTGTGGACTATGGGGAGGGAAGGACTCTCCTGCTTATATTGTTGTTATTTAGTCATTTTTTTTTGGTCATATCCAATTCTCTGTGAGTTCTGGGGGGTTTTCTTGGCGAAGATACTGGAGTGGTTTGCCATTTCCTTCTCCAGCTCATTTTACAGATGAGAAAACTGAGGCAAACAGGGTTAAGTGACTTGCCCAGCTAGTAAGTGTCTGAGGCTGGATTTGGACTTAGAAAGATGAGTCTTTCTGACTCCAGGCCTGGCACTCTGTGCGCTATAGTGCCACCTAGCTGCCCTTTCTCCTGCTTATGGACCCCATATTGTGCTCCTGATAAGGGGACCATTTCTTAGCCATTCCTTCTAGCCTCTCTCTTACTTTCTAAACCTATGACCAAGTTTATCAGTGAGTATGCAGCAAAAAATTTAAGGTTGTTTTTTCCCTTTTTCTTTAAAGTTTCAACAGTTTAGAAAAATGTCTGAACGACATCCAAAAAGGTTTTTTAAAAAGGGAAAAAAGCCCTAAAAAAAAGTCTTGGATACTAGATAGGTAACTCACCGAATCCCGAAAAATTAAGAGTTACCTGGACTTTGTGGGGAATCAACAATATTCCTATAGGGGAAATGTGTCAAAGCTAATTGAAAGTAGAAGGGGCTGTGGTACTGGCATCTCATGCACAGCTAGAGGTGATTCAGTAGAAGATACCTCTCTCTATCTGTATGTATGTGTGTGTGTGTGTGTGTGTATATATACATACATATATATATATATATATATAATGTATGTATGTATGTATGTATATATCATTAGGTTAGGATTGAGGAAGCTGTGAAAGGGGAATCACTGGCTCAAAGCTAGAAAGGACCACAGACTTCATCTAGTTCAACTCTTTCATCTTACAGATGAGAAGAAAACAGGTCAGGTCAGTCATTTTCCTCCCCAGGCAGTCAGTTGCAGAGCATCTTCCAGCTCTCAAATTAATTTCACCCGCACCCCTGGAAGGTCCAACCCCAAGAATAATTTTCATCTGGGAGGGCTGCTCTTATTAAAAGCAAATTGAAGAGCTGTGAATATAGTTAATAAGGTGAGCAATTAATAAAATGAGCAATACCCTGAAAATGTGAATGCAGCCATTGTCACCTCCATTTACCTCAGTATCTCTATCCTACTGAGTCTCACTCTTTTATTTGCC